TGATGGTTCGTGGTGTCATGAAACAACTGGAAGGTCTTGGAACCAAGACTAGGGGCTCGTGTGCCTTCTGAACAGTGACCTGTTGTGAAAGTTACTCAAACATGTGATTACCTTATGTTCTGGTGTGTTTCTAGGGAGGTTAATGTACTGGTCTGTTTTGTACTGATGTTGGCACAAAATATCTTGTTTTGTCGGTAATATCAAGCAGTAACAAACAACATCATTAAATGACCTGGCCTATATGTTTTTAAGGGTTCAGTGAAGTTCGAGTTTCCTATACTCAACAACTGGACAATTTGTTTCTTGAGGGGCTGGACAGCCTCCTGCCCTAATCACACCACACCCACGAGATCAGCCAAGTCCACCTATTCGTGTTCCAGACAGTACAAATCCCTGAAGTTCCTCCTCATCCTACATGTCCCCCGGTGACTACACGGTTCAGTGCGGATGGCAACCATCATATCACAGCTTAATTGATATCTAGGCCTACACAAAATTAACAAGGAGTGACATCCTTGGTGACCACTGACTTTTTTATATGGGTTTTACAATAACTTTTAGAGTCATTTTCATGTACTTTTTATTTTTACTAAATCCATATATGTTTTTTTTTAACTTTTAATTGTAATGTTGCTGTGGCAGCAATTCAGCCTTTTTGGCTGCAAGTGCCCACCTAATGTGGAATAAATAAACCAATAATAATAACAATAGACAAACCAACTTCTTAAAGATGAATTCCGCCTCGGCATTAGGGGTTATATAAGGAAATTGCACTTGCCAACTAGGCTATGATCTGACGAAGTGAACAACATTCAATAAACTCGTTTTATTTGACACTGCTAGTCGATTGGGTGCAAAAGACATCCTTTCAAATTTTAACCACGCCCCCACTGTTGTCGTCAGTGAATAAAGCATAAACGTTACAGGGATTAGTCGGTGAATGAAAAAATATATATAAATAAATAAAAATGGCTGCCACATTGAAATCACGGCCATAATGTTACCTATTTTGCAGAAATTTATACAATCATGCTGTTCGTATTATCAGAAAAATTTAATGAGAATAAATCGGTTTCCACGCGGCGGTCGCGTTACATTATTTACTCCCAAATTACTAGATGAATTTAATACACGTATTGCCCCATCGCAATGCATGAGTTCTCCATTATATGCGTGACATTATCAACAGAAGACAAGCATGGCCTTTCTGCACCATGGAACAAAGAGAAGAACCTGACGTCGCTGAAGTTGGGCCGTTTAGAAAATGTAAGGTCCATAATCCCGAAATGATTTTTGACAGTTACCATGCATATTAAAAATACTTGCAATAAGCAAACAAAATCTAAAAACTGCAGTTTATTTTTTCATTTATCAATTGATTTATCTGCGAATGCTTTAGGTGTGCTTGATGGGCCAGATAAAAAAAATAAATGAATTCCAGGCAAGATAACAAACTCAGTGAATAGATATATACATATGGGGACCGTCCACCGGAAGCATGGAAGTCAGGATTCTAAAATACGCTGTTGATACAAATTATTCAAC